ATTTTGCAGCCTTTATTCCTTTATTAGAGTGCAGACCTGGCCCAGCAAGGAGCACTCTGATCCCCTGTCCTGAAAGCTGCATCTCAGGCTGTCAGCTGTGAGCACACCTATGTGGTCATCCAGGATTTCTGGTTGTCTGTTATGTCCAGCAACGTAGCAATCAGAATTATTGTCTGAAGGCCAAAATAAATTCAGAACAGATTTATTTTCCCAAGTTGACCCAATCTTTGGTGCTGTTATTGAGTCATCAGTGTTTTTGATTAAAAACTGATGGCTGCTTAATGTTGTCCTACTTTCTATTCACACTTCGCTCCTAGATACGTTTCCATTGCAGGTCTATTTTAAGTTCCAAATATGGGTGAAACACTTGCATTTACATGATGACAACTGAGCACTACAGAGCTGTGCATTAAAAGGAAGCTTTAAAAGCAAATAATTTGTCTTATTTTTAATAAAATTATTCGAATTACTCATTGAATTGTTGCAGCCCCAGTTTAAATTACCATAAAAAGTACTTGTCAGGACATACTTGTATTCTATATACTGGAAAATTCAAAGTTTTGAGTGACAGATATTGTTCATTTTTATTTCTCTTATGATTTTATGAAAATCACAATAATATATAAAATACATCAAGCTGAACTGTTAACCTTCAGAGTGATCCTGTTTATGCTTCCTGTTGGGTCTGCGCTGGTTCAGAGACTTATCACGTGTAGACAAAGCAAGACAAACAGCAATCCATTTAACTTGCAAGGGAAGTCTGGTCAGAACCAGGCTCTTGGAGCTGAACGCTCCTCACCTGTTTCTCAGCCAACTTCAAAGAAAATGCCTTCCCTGCAGCCCTGCTCTGTGTGTGTGTGTGTGTGTGTGTGTGTGAGTGTGAGTGTGAGAGAGAGAGAGAGAGAGAGAGAGAGAGAGAGACTTCCTGCTGATCACAAAGGGTCGTCTCCCCTCAACCTGTATATGGCTTAATTCCTTTAAAGGTTCACCATACACAAGCATAGGTGAGGCCAAAAAAGGCAGGAAGTAAACATCCTTACTAAAAAAGGACACCTAGAACCTTACATGCAATGTGCCTGAAGTTAAACACTTGTAGCTATTGCATCCCCCACCTAGAGACAGTGGAGGAACAGAAAAATATCTAAACATGCCATTTAGACAAGGTTTACAAATTTAAGTACCACAATGGCAACATTTAACAATTCACTCTAACACTTTCTTTTTACTTTGATTTATTTTTCTGTTCATACAGGTCAGCTGATGCAGATGACTCTATCAAAAGAATCTGTGAGGAAAGAAGCAAACCAGGGAGAAAAGCTGAAGACTTTGTTAAGTTGTGGTGGAAACTCACTTGATAACTATGACAAATTTGTTGTTGTTGTAAACAAGAGCCATCAAGAACAACTACATTATCTTCAGTTTCTGACGAAGTTGAAACTGTTCTGCGTGTTAGACCTTGACCCCAATTCTGCTGCCTCAGGTGGATTGTGTCACTCATACAGAGAGTTGAGGGTAGCCAATCTGCATACACCACCACAATTTCAAGGACAGACTGAGTCAGTGATAAAGAACCTCAACCTTTACAAACAGACCAGCTGGGTGTTCTGTAATGGCCGACATGACTTGAACAGTGAGTCAAACATGACGCTTGATTATAAGAACTGGTTCAGACAATATAGTAAGTATGTAGAAATGTTAATTTCATTCATCTGCAACACTGAAGTTCTCCTCCATGGAAGATATCTGATCATCTTCCTCCTACTTTCACCTGTGGACACTGAGAAAGACCCAGTCTTTGATATCTACAAGTCATTCATAAAGCACATTAAGGAGGAAAACATCATCAGTGTATGTGAGTCGCAGAGCACATATCTGATATGGAGGGAGCTGATCAAGGAGAAGTGTGACTTTGACATTGAGCATCTGTCCATAAATGAACTAACCCTGAGTGAGATCAATGGCACCATAATGGCGATGGGACCATTCAGTCAGTCATCTGTACGGCTGCTTCCCTCTTCTGGTTCCAGTACTGTTGTCCTAACACAGAAGGATGAAGATTTACTGACAGCTCTAGATGTTTTGTGTACGAACCAATGTGAAAGTGTATATGATGAAAACAGTTCAGAGTTTCATGAATTTAGAATCAGTGTTGAAGAAGAATTCTACAGAGGTGGCAAAGTGAAATGGTGGAACTTCTACTTCTGTGACAAAGACAAAGAGAAGCCATTTATCAAGAGAGACAAGTATGAGAATTTGATGAAGCTGATCAGATCTCAGTGGAGAGCTTCAAACGACATGTGTGTTCTGCTCAACCTGTTTCACCATCCTGGCTGTGGCGGCACCACCTTAGCAATGCATGTGATGTGGGACCTCCGTCATGAATTCAGATGTGCCGTGCTGAAAGACAACTCCATGCCCAAAACAGAAGTTGCCATCCAAGTTATTAAACTAATGAAACTTGAAAGTGAGAAACCGTCTCCAGTTCTGCTCTTAGTTGATTCAAAAGAAACGGATAATCCTTATGATCTTGTGATCTCCATACGTAAAGCTGCAGTAGAAGAAAACTTCAGTGTAAGTGCAGATGATGCACCAAACTGGAAAGTCATTATCCTTAACTGTGTTCGTTCCCATAGTCCAAAGCAGCAATACAAACAGCACAATCAAACACAGAATCAGTTCATAACTGCTTCTTTGACCCCACAAGAGCAGAAAGATTTTGAAAAGAAACTCAAAGAGCTTGAAGAAACTCATGACAAACCTGAAAACTTTTACAGTTTCATGATCATGAAGAACAATTTTGACCAAAAATATATAGATGACCTTGCTCATAACACTCTGGAGAATTTTGATTTCAGCAAAAAGGAGTCTGAGCTGTTTGCCTTTCTAGCTTTACTGAACACTTAGTGGAAGAATCAGAAATATCTCTCTCTCTCTGTGAGGATTTTTTGGGGATGAAAGTTTTTCGCTGGAGAGAGGACAGTGTTTTGGAAAGAATGAATCCATATTCAAACCTTCTCATCATAGACAGGATTGAAGAATCGGGTGGATACAAAGGACTCCGGATACTTCATCAGACCATTGCATCTGCCTGTCTGGCTGAGTTGGAGAGAAGCTGCTACAAGAAAGTCAGTGAAATTGCTATGCAGATGCTCCATTATGATCTGTTCTTCAGTACTTTCGTTGTTAAACACCGACTGATGCGCTCAATTGAACGAATGTTGATTGAAAGGCAACGTAAGAAAGATGGAGATGAGAGAGAACTATTTTCTCCTCTCATACACAAAATCCATAACCTGCAGGGGAGACAAACCGTCCAAGAAATCTTTGTGAAAGCCTCATCCAGATTTGTGACAAGATCATCTATTCCTCAGGCACTGGCGAGATATTTGTACATCAATGAGCGTGACTACCCAGAGGCTCTGAAGTGGGCAGAAAAAGCCAAAGACATTAAAGAAAATCCTTACACCTTTGACACAATCGGACAAATTCACAAAAGCAATTTAAAGTATAACATGGACAGAGAAAAGCAGGAGAAATCACAAAATCCAGAAGACTTGCACACAAACATTAAAATAGCCATCAATGGTATGAAAGCTTTTCAAAGAGCCCAAGAGCTGGCAGAGCTTGCCGACGAACCACAAGAAGAAACACCTGATGATGACTCACAGGACTACCCCAGAAAGTCATATAATGTTTATGGGTATGTGAGCATGCTAGAAATGGCTTTCTTGGTCTTTGACATACTGAGCAAGTTGCCTTTCTTTTGGGAACAAGACCCCATTAAGAAAATGTACCTCCAGAGCTTTCTTAGAGGAAAAATTAGGATGACAAGTGTTCACAAAGAGGACAATGAGATCAACAACAGATGTGTTGAGATCATCAACGAGCATGAGAGGTTTCTTGTCAAACTGAAGTCTGAAGTCAAAGAGATATTTGATTTTCTTGACTGTTACTTTGCCTACATAAAACAGAACTCTGAATTTGATGCATTGAATCATAGAACAGTCTCTGAACATTTTAAGAAGTATGTGCAGCTTTTCTGTACAACACCAGAAGAAATGAAGAAAGAAAAAGAAAACAAGTCCAACCTCAATTTGAAATTGGATATCGAGGAACGCAAAGTGTTTCTTGAAAAGAACCAAGCAGACACTTTCTCAAGAATACTTCAACATTTGGACAAACCTGCCAAAGAGATGGAGAAGATCACAGAATGCTACGCATTTCTGCACAAAGCTGTCAGCCAAAAACACAACATACAAATAAAAATTAATTACATCGTATCAAACATTGTTCTTTGTCATCTGAAACCAAAATCGAAACATGTCAAGAGTTACGGAGACCTTTCTGCTCTCCTTTTAGAAACTCTGCAGGATATAGGACTAGATCATCATCTCCCAGATGCTTATTATCTGGCTCTGCTGTTATTCTGGCCCAGTCCTACTGAGGAAAACACAGAAATCGGGAAATATGTGACAGCTATTCGAAAGTCCTCCCACAAACGCCTGTCCAAGTTATTGCACAAGAGAAGCACCATTGCTTACTTTTATTTAACAAAAGAGGAGGGACTAAAGAGGTTTGTCTCCAAACCCACACTAGATGAGAGCTTTCTGAAAAAGATTTCTCGTGATACTTTGGCACAACTTTGGAGGAACGGAGACATATTTAAGGAAAAAGCAATCATCAGCCGCCTACATAGGGTTAGTGGAACCATTGAGCAAGAAGACATGTATGCAAACTATGGTAAACAGAAGATTCCGGTGCGTCCAGCTCGCATAAGTGGAATCAGAAGTGGCTTCAGCACAGAAAAAGTGTCTTTCTACCTTGGATTTGCAATTAACGGACCAATTGCATATGATATTAAATATGAAAACTAGGAAGGAGACATTAAAAATGCAACAAGTGAGTCAAGAAACTGAAATGAAATGGGGTTAGCCACCAATGTGTTACTGTTAAAAATTATCTTGTAAAAGAACAACATGTAGGAAGAGACAGTAAGAAAAACTGTAAAGGTAAACTTGCACTGCTGCAGTCCATTTATGGACTATCCATATATAATTGTATATAAATTTAGTCTGTTTATTTAATTGAATGCTTTTCAGATAGTTTTGGTTCTGATATGAAAAGATTGAGTGGTCACTTGGAACAGCATGTTGTAATTATGTAAGAAATATAAAGTTTTTTGTTACTTTTCATTTGAAAAACATTGTTCCCATCAGTCATCTTATTAGAATTCCAATCAGTTTTTTGATACAATTATTTGACTGTAGAGTCAGAGAGATTTATATTATTGATAAATGTTTACTAAGCTCTGAATAATAAAATAGAAAAATGTGTAAATTTTGAAAATTATTTACAGGTAAACAACAAACAAGTCATCATAATTTAGGTCTTTCTGGAAACTTGAACATCTTGCTTGATGGATATATGCACTTGATTTTGGCCATCTGTCTTTACAGTAATAAATGTCAGGATGTTCCTGAAATAAACACATGAATGTTTATTTTAAACATTTCTGTTTTTAACTTTTGCATGCAGCAGAATTCCTTGATTCATAGTGTTTGTATAATTTTGTCCTCCTAAAATGCAGAAAATCTTTGCTTCTGACATGATCCATATTTACGTTTCTGATGTTGGTATATAAGGTTTGGTTCGCAAAACATATTCAGACTCTAGTTAAAAATGGCACCCCCTTCAACCAGAACATATTGTATTTCTCATTCTGCATCCAGTCAAAACATCATCAACAAATTAAAGTGAAAAAATGGTCAAAAGTGGACAATATATTGCATCTAAATTTGGTGTCTATAAATTTCCGACCAGCCCACTGAATGAACAATGGGCTGTGAGGTCAGTTCCTTGATCATTAATATGAAAATTGTCATGATCATTGATCAACAACCACTGATCAATGGCCATGAGTACCATTCACAGAGAGTTGGGGAATGGCTGCAATCACAACACTTTGGAATTTGTTGAGAAGGTGAGAGACGTCATTATGGAGGCAGATGAAACAATGGTCTCATACGATGTCACATCCAGTGATGGGAATAACGGCATTAATAAAGGCGTTACTTTTTTTAGTAACAAGTAATCTAACTAATTACTATTCCTATCGTTACGCCCTTAGCATTGCGGATGCGTTACTGTTTTTCAGCAAACAGACGGTTGAAGCTGTCTTCAGCTTACCAGGAGCTAGGGGGGCAAAACAATCGTGCTGCTGATTGGCTGAGAAAGACTAAAGTAGTTGTGGTAAACCAATCACATGACCAATGTAAGATGACATAGTAACAAGATGCTATATACCAGTTTTTAAATTGTGTTGAAAGGTCACGTAAAACCAGAGTCATGATTAAAAAAATGTTTTTTTTCCTGAATACTATCATCACATTTACTGTCTAAGAACAGTGGTAGCAAGCACTCTCTACGTACAACCAAAACAACAAACACCCCTTTTGGATAGGTGGAAAAATGTATCATGTGGACCAATCAAAAATGATATGGCAACATGTGGCATTTGGTTGCTTAGGAAGAGGGGAAAGTTTTAGGAGTGATGGCAGTGAGCAAGCGAAAGAGAGAGAGCGAGTGAGTTTTGAGATGTGAGAGATTTGTCACGTTTAGCATGTTTGGAGTGTACAGTTAGTGTGTAGTTAGTGTTTAGTGTAGTGGATAGTTTTGTTTTGTGTGTCAGAACAATGAGGCGACTGCTGAATGTCACAGGTGCTGCCAAAAAGCCACCAAAGGCAGATTGCAGTGTTAATACTAACTCCAGGTGGAAAACCGGAGGAGTGATACACCTGCTGTTGTCTGCAGGTATCAAGCTAGTGATGTTCTACTCAGTCTTAAAGTAGACAGAAATTAATTTTTGGGGATGCACAAATAATTATTATGCCTTCTGTGGATAAATATATAGGGCTTGCATGATAAAGACGATAGGGCTCTGTTTGCAGAAATGGAGCAGAAGTTGAATAGTTTGAGCAGGGGGGTGAAATCATGTGAAACTATGGCTCATGTGAAACTGTGGGGGTAGACAATGTAGGAAGAGAGGCACCAGAAATTGTCCATATGTATCTGCACTGTGACCACTCTCTGACCTGGCCTTAAGTAGGAAATAAGGAGGAGGAAAGAAACAGGGCAATTTGACATTTTTCATGTCTGAGAATAGCAGGAAGAATTTGGAGCCAGGATATATGTAGGTAAGAGACAAGACAGCTGCACATGCCAATGGTCATGGGATGGAGTGTATGGATTTGATGATCACAGTCACATGTGGGGGGTCAGATCAAAGTGTTTAAATGTATTGTGTGACTTAGAGTATAAATCTAACAGGCTGAAGGAGCACCGTTCAGATCTGCAGGAGGCTTTGCGCTGTGCACATCTCCCCATGCGCATGGGTAAATAAAAAGGAACATGGGAAGTGAAGTATTCTGTCTCGAGTCGTGTGTGTCTTACCAGGTCAGAATCAAAGGATCGGGAGTGACAAAAAACAGTCACTTCAAAGGTCAAATTGCATTACATTTCTTCACGTCAATATACGGGCTGACATGTGCTGCAAGTGGCCCCCAGGTGTGAGTTTAAGACCCCTGGTCAGTGTAGAAGATGAAAATCAACCAAGATAGCTGTGAAACATCTGCTGACATCTGGTTAAATTCAGTTGTGTACATCCACAAAGAGCGGTAGGTCAGCTGATCACAGCCTGTACACTAAGAAAATTTACTGGAGCTCTCAACAGAAATGACCATGACCTGTAATTCTTTTCCCCACAATGAGCCAATACAACTGATCTTA